GCCAAGGCTTAAGTGGAGAGGAAATGTTTTGAGAATGATGAGGGCAATGAATGTACAAATGTGCTTTACACAATTGATGTATGTATGGATTGTGATAGGAGTTGTATGAGCCCCTAATACAATGATTAAAAAAAAGACCCTTTTGCCATCGTTGGGGTCTGGAACTGAGACTCGCCTCTGTGGTAGAACAAGATCAAAGGGCAGCTTTTACCCAAGGACAAAGCCCAGAGGGTCAGCAGAGTGGGAGGGAGGGGAAGAGGAAACACTGAGAGAAAGCAGGGTGCGCAGTGGCACGTGTAGGGGCTGGCAATGGACAAGTCGAACCAAAACATGTTATAAACTGTTGAATGTAAAACTGATGATGATTGCCTAAATCACGATAAAAAGTTTTTAAAAAGAGATCTATTTCCAGTGAGATCATGCCATTCACAGGTTTGTGAGGACATGAATTTGGGGTCATAACTCAACCCACTGTAGGCACCTTTTACTCAGACTGCAAGTATCCCTAAGACTTTTCTAATCTGAATTAAGCTAAACTCCCACTCCTACCTTACAGGTTCATAAACATCCTGCACCCACCTGAGGAAGCTCCCTTAAGGTGCTCTTGGCTCCATTGCTATCCGCCTTCCCCTACTGCCTGCCCCGAGGGGGCCCTGCGGACATCACATCAGTCCCCACTCATCCCTGCCCTGTGTCCTTCTCTGTAGAGCCAGGCCCACCAAGGCCTGCCCACTCAATTCTCTCGTGCCCACTCTCTTCTTCCTCACTCTCTTCTTCATCAACCCCAGAACCAGCATTCTTCCACACTTAATAAGTTGATTGTGGCACCAGTTTTCTGTAACCTGATGCATACAATCCAGCTAGCACCCACCCCCCCCCAGGCCCTAGACCACCTGAGATGGCTCCCAAATGTGGCCATCTGGGGACCTGTGGGGGTGAACTAGCTTCTTCCTCTCCCTGCCCCTCCCCTGCAGTGCCTCTCCCTCTATCCTCATCCTTGGTTCCTGGGCACTGCAGCTCAGCCACCAGAGATATCCTCCTTCCTGCCAGGTATATTTGGGGCCTGTCACTGCCCCTGGTGGCATCACCATTCCCCGATCTCAGGCCATCTGTGACTCTACCCTGGTTTTCTAAATGACACCTGTGTGACATCAACTTGGTGGGTTCACCTATGGACCCCAGCTCTCATTCTCTGCGAACAGCTGGTTCAGATAGGGATGCAGCACTCAGGCCAAGTGGGACCAATGCATCCGATAGCCTGGGCCTGAGGGCTCCTGCCAGAGTTCTTTGAGGAAGACAGTGTCTGCTCGGTCCTAAAGAAGCCATTAATCCTGGACACCGATGCTGAAGAACTCCCCCTTCCAGAAGCCAGGCCTGAATGGCACAAACAATTAATCATCAAACTACTAACCAAAAAGTTGGCGGTTTGAACCCACCCAGGAGTGGCTTGGAAGAAAGGCCTGGTAACCTGCTTCCACAAGGCCACCCTGCGTAGACTGTAGGGAGGCCTTCTGCTCGGCACATCATGAGTGGAAGTTGCCTTGAGGGCCATAAACAACAGCAGCTTCCTTCTAGGGCACTGCCGTTGCACTGGCTGGAGAGGCTAGCATTGATGCTTCACACAGGAGCAGGGTGCGCTGGAATGGAGCTGCCCGGGGAGGGGCCAATAGCCATGCCCCATGCCTGGTCTCTCAACCTGAAGGGCTGGTGAGAGGAGTCCGGGATAACTGAGAAGAGTCCAGAGAGCAGAGACATCCAGATATGTTCTTATGTTTAGTAGTTATGTCACAACGCATCATAATCAAACTCTCCAATTCCAAGGGAAAGAGGAGAACCCCAAGGGCAGCTAGAGAAAAGAGAGCAGTCGCCTGCAGAAGAAAACCAATAAGGGTGGGCTCAGACGTCTCAGCAGAAACCATGCAGACAAGAAGGCAATGGTGTGACAGACATAAAATCCTGAGGGGAAAAAAAGTGATATGGAAGGTGAACACTAGGTGCTGCAGGCAGGAGAAAGCACCTCAAAGATTTTGATAAGGGCGTTGATCGCGTTGTTTATGTCCATGGGGCTTAGTTTCCTAGCCCTGCTGTAACAGAGGTGCCACAAGCAGGTGATTTTGGAAAATAGAAATTAGCTTTCTCATAGTTCCGGACAATAGTTCAAAGCACGTTCTCTGTGATGTGGATTCCTTCCTTGTCCATAGTGCTGAGTACCCCTGGGTTCCTTGACTTGTAGACAATGTTACTGTTAGGCGCCTTCAAGTCAGCGCTAACTCACGGCAAGTTCATACGCGGCAGAAGCAAAGAGTGCCCAGTCCTGTACCGTCCTCACAAACACTGCTGTTTGAGCTCATCGCAGCCACTGTGCCGAGTCACTATGTAGACTAGCGCCCTCCTTCCTTTTCACTTACCCTATACCGCGTATGTCTTTCTCCAGCGAGGGGCCCCCAAAGACATGCCCAAAGTGTGTGCGATAAAGTGCTAAGGAGCATCTTTGTTGTTTTTCTTCTAAGACGTGTCTGTTCTTCTGGCAGGTTGTCGTATGTGGACATACCGTCTATTCCTCAGCGGCACCACAATTTACCGTGAATGTGTCAATTATTCAGGCTTCCTCCTCATTGCCCGGCTTTTGCCTGCATATTAGGTGTCTGAGAATACCATGGCTTAAGTCAAGTAAGCTCCCTTAGAAGATACCCAAAGCTTCATCCCTAAAACCTGCGGTGGTGACCCTCCATGAGTAAAGAGAACTTTGTAGATGTGATTAAATGCACAAATGTCCTTATACGAGGCAAGCAGAGACGGCACACACAGAGAAGAGGAGCAAATGATGTGGCCAGAGAGGCCAAGACTGGAGAAGTGCAGCTGCAAGCCAAGGAATGCCTGGGGCCATGAGATGCTCTCGCCTACGGACACCTTGATTTGGGCTCAGTGATACTGATTCGGAACCTCTGGTCTCCAGATCTGTGAAGGAGTACATTTCTATGATCTTAAACCACTCCATTTGTGCTCATTTGTTACAGCAGCCACAGGAAACTAGGATGACTATGAATGATAAGCATTACTTTCATCACTCCCAAGTATTCTGATTTCAATACCATTGAGACAATGGCAGGAACTGAAATTCCCAGCCTCCCGGCCCACCAGCGGTTCATGTGTGTCCTCTACTCTGAAGTCCGGGGCCATCCACAGGCACCTGCTCCACCTTTGCCTCCTTCACACGTCCCTTACCCTCCCCTCACCTTAAGCATACATGGGTACCTGCCAGCTTCCCCCAGGGGAGGCACCCTCCCTGAGCCCAGGCACCACACTTTTGTCCCAGTACCTGGCAGCGCCCAGCACACATAAGGGACTGCTGGCTGGATCCATGAGCAATGCCCTGGGTAGGTATGCCAAGGCCATGGACAGAGCTCTGGCTCAACCCAAGTGAAAAACAAGTAGGCATCTATGAGCTCAGGTGCAGAGGAGGCAGCGGACGATGGAGTCAGAAACACTCTTGTCTACAAAAGCTCCTGCAAGCTTCTGAGACCCAGCTCTGGAACCACAGGCACCCTACTCACCCCTCATCTGGCCCACCTATTTGACCACCCTGCCAACTCTTGACCCTCATAGGGACAGCCCACCCGGCCCCCAAACCACTGGGACTTTTAAAGCTAGGCAGCATCTTTGGGAAAACTAAACCATGAGTGATCCCAGAACTGCCTAGGACACCAACCAGGAAGAGGAAGGGCATCTGGGAGTCTTTGTTGGGACAACACACAGCACAGAGGGATATAAAACCCCCACAGCCCAGCGCTCCACACACTCACACTCACACCCTCCTCACTCATACTCTCCTCCAGCTCACTTCCTCCCACCCACCATGGCTGACAGCTGCTGCTCCGGGACCTGTGTTCCTGCTGCGTCCACCAGGTCCATCTGCTCCAGCGACAGGAGCTATGGCAGCTGCGTCTGCATGCCCAATGCTCGTACTGGCCCTTCCTGGATGGTGGACAACTGCCCGGAGAGCTACTGTGAGCCCCCATGCTGCACCTCCTCCTGCTGCCAGTCCTCCTGCTGTGCCCCAGCTTCCTGCCTGCCCCTCATCTGCAGTCCTGTGAGCTGTGGGACCAGCCCCTGCCAATCAGTCTGCACCAGCTCCTGTGGGCCCTCCTGCTGCCAGTCTGCATGCTGTACGCCCATCTGCTGCAAGCCAGTCTGCTGCATACCAGTCTGCTGCATACCTGTCTGCTGCAAGCCAGTCTGCTGTACTCCTGTCTGCTGCAAGCCAGTCTGCTGCACACCCATTAGCTGTGTGCCTGCCTGCTGTGGGGCTGCCTCCTGCTCAGCTCCCACTTGTTGCCAGGCCCCTACCTGTACCCCCTCATGCTGAAGATATTCCTCCTGTATGTCCCTGCTCTGCAGCCTCTGCTCTATCCTGCTCTGCTAAAGCCCCTCTTCCGGCCACCAGCCCTGCTGCTGACTAGGAGGGTGCCCCTGCCCAGCTGAGTAATAGGAGCCACCCACCATGCTGACCACAGAGCACTTTCTGGATTAAGTCAGTGTAAGTTTCAGTCCAAGTCTCAGTGTAAAGGCCACCTGACCTCAGACCCCAACAACCACAGTTCAGGCCGTCTGACAGCTCAGCAGACCGAAACATGTGCGATGTCCCCAAACCATTTTGAGGCAAGGAAGTGTCCCAGAATGCTGTGGTAGCCTTGGCTACCTACTCCGGCCTCTGCGCCATCTTGTAGCCAGCCTCAGGGGGCTCTGCAACTCTTTGGGCCCTTCCTAAAGCTGTTTGTTTCCTGATCTAGCAGCCCCACCGCTTTCCCACCCCGGATACACATTCTGCACTGAGAAAAAGTTGTCTTTTGACTCTAATGGGTCCTATCTCCCAGTTCATGTTGCATTCTCCATCCTGGTCCTCGGAGCCAAGACAGCTCTCCTTGGAGTCACCTTGGAGATGAACCACTTCGCACAGCTTTACGTGGTGTTGAGTTCAGGGCCACCCCACATGTCCCTGCGTCCACACAGCTCCTGCAACCATACCTCTGGGTGGCTCCCCTGGCCACTGTTTGGTGTGGGCTGAATTTGGATGATTGAGAGGGTCCCATTGTCCCCAGGCCAAACTCTCCCAGGTCAGGGGACATCTGCCCCCATGTGAGGAGGCGGCTGGACTGGGGCTCCCTGGCCTCAGCCATCCAGGAGCGCCTCCATACCGCTCTCCCGCGGTCACCCTGCATCTCTCGTGGTCCTTGAACCTCATTGTTTTATTTAAATGCCCTCCACCTTGCCCAACCAACAGGTTAGAAGCAATGCCCTCCATGGTCCAGCTCAGCATAATGGAAGTCAGGGAGAGAAAGGCCAAAAGACTGCAGGGAGTCCACACCCTGAGGTCTAAGGTCAGGACTGTGTCTCCTTGAGGGAATGGTCCCAGTCTGAGGAGGTCCCCAAAAGGGACCTCCAGGTGCCCTCGAGTCATAAGCTTCCCACACCCACCTCTCACCCTATGGTCCCCTCCCTGCCTGCATACCACAGTTTTGAGGCATGGTGTACCCCACCACCTTGGTCCTCCCCAAATGTCTCAAATGAAGCTCACTGCCTTCAAATGAAGCTCAAACCCAACACCCCATGGGGGTGAAGGGCTGTAGGAGCAGACGGCTACATCTTTCTCTGGAGTAGCTGGTGGATTCCAGCCGCCCATCAATGAGCGACCAGACTCCTTCCCTAACCCCCTGCCTTCGCCAAAAGGGGAAGCTCAAGGGTCACCTTCAGATTAGGGCCCTCAGAGAATGTACTCAAGGCTTCGGGGTATCTGAGTGGACAGACCTTCCAGTACTATCACACAGGCCCCTTCCCAGCCAAAAGAAAGGTCCTAAGACAGGTGGATGGGCCTGTCTGACCAAGAAAATGGATGCACTGAGAGCATCTCTGTAGGGCCCCACATCCCTGGCTCCATCTTTCCCGAGACCTGGAGGGAGACTTCCTGTTCTGCGCCCAGGAAAGCAGAAGGGCTGTGCCAAGGTAGGTCTAACCTGCCCGCCAGTCTGTCCTTCCAGGAAAGAGGAGCCCGCGGCTGGATTGGTAGCCTTACAGCCCCCGAGGTGGCAGGAGGGTCACGACCGTGTTGTCTAAAGCAAAGCACTAGTTTTAGATCCAAATTCTGAACCCGCGTTTCCTCTTTTCTCTATTTCAGCTAAAAATCTGGGCAGAGTTCCTCCGGGGCGGCCCGAGGGTGGATGCTTGGTTGTCACTAGAGTCATTCATTCCCTGCCCCCGCCCACGGACCTCCCCTGTGAACAGACCACTGTTCTTACCCATTATAGTCATTGAATGGTACGTGATCCAGTTGGAAATTGCTTAAAACATATCCTTTCTTAAACTTATATAAATACGAAGAACAGAATCACTTCGTCCAATCGCTCTACATTGAATGACGTCACCAGTTGCAACACAATGACTAACTGAACGGAGGCCTATTTTTAAGTCGTTCTTCTTTTCCTTTAATTAGCACTTCATTCCTCCCAATAAAAAGTGATTGATATTGGCCTATAAAAACGACTTACCACAGCATGGTGGCTGAAACGCCCGAGCCCGTGGCTGTGAGAACACTGACGGCCACGAAGCCCGCGTCACGGCACGTGGTTCCGGCTGGCAGAGCCCTGCGCGGTTTGCAACCGGCGATAAAGGCGGCTCGGACCAGAGAGCTTGTCAAAGGGTCAGTTAGCACACGGTTTCAGCCTCGTAAATAGATCAACACATGAAAAATGTTTTCTTGTTAAACTAACAGGGATATTTTTATGAAAAACACCTTTCTGCTGAAACAATACACAAAATGTTTCTAGACGGCATCTGTAGTATCACCTCCTCTGACAGGCAGGGTCACCAGAGCGGTCCACGTGCTCCCTTCCCGATACCAGCCACGGAGCGCAAGAAGTCGATTCCCAGTGACCCTACGAAGGATGCCAGAGGCTTTAAACATCTTTACTGAAGTAGACAGCCTCATCTTTCTCTCTAGGAGAGGCCAGTGGGTTTGAACGCCTGACCTTTTGGTTACCAGGCCGGTCCTTAACCAACAGCACCATAAGGGCTGCTATCACTTGACTTCCTGGCATCCAGTCCATTCGGACTCCCTCTGGGTTGCTAAGGGTGTAACTCTTTATGGGAGTAGAAAGCCTGGCCTCTCTCCTTTGGAGCAACTGGCGGTTTCGAACTGCTGACCTTGCGGTTAAAGACCGTGACTGCTAGCCTAAGAGTTTAACTCCACTCCAAGGCTACTAAGAAGAAAGCCCTGGGAAGATACTTGCAAAAAGTCAGCCCTGGGAAACCCTGCGGAGCAGTGTAACTGACACACGTGAGGTCCTTGCCGTCCCCCTCACGCAGAAGAGTTCCTGATCCCTCCCTTCTCCTTGTACCACAGGACGCCCCCCGCCATGCTGCTCCCTCCCTCTAATCCCACCTTGAGAGGGGGAGAGGAGAAATCAAGGCCCTTTTACCCACCTCCACACACCACCGGCCCCCACTCCCACCCCCTCCGACGGGGCCAGTTTTCTGCCTCTGTGCCTGTAGCACCCTCCCTCCTGCCCGCTGTTCCCTCCCAGAGATGGCTATGGACTGGAGCCTCCCGCGCCGCCCCGCCCCCCTCCTTCCAACCATCCGTGCTCCCGACCGAAGCCTGCGGCCCCTCCTCAGAAAAGGGTTCACACGCAGCGCAAAGGGTACCGGACCAGATCCCAAAGGGAATCACTTGAACGAACGTCCAAGGGAGCAAAGTGTTCCAAAGCAAACGCGCCGAGCAATGGCCCGGGCGCTTTCCTTGCCGTCCTCCCTGCGCAGGTGGCAGCGCACGCAGCGCCCCAGACACCCGCAGGCTCTGCCCGGGGCGCGGGCGGGAAGCTGGAAACGGCCAGCGATGCCCGGGGCGGGACGCACCGCCTCCGCCTGGCGTTCGACACGCGGCGTCTCCGCGGTCAGGAAAGCGAGGGGGTTCGGGGCTTCCCACGTGGGTTCTTACCGGGACCCCTGAAAGTATGCGCGGACGCCTGGACACGCGTCCCCCGAGGACAAAGGGGCTGGGGGCGCCGCCTCAGGCGGGTCTCTGATTCCAACCTGACAAAAGGGCTCCGCGGGCCCCTGGCCCCGGGGGTGCCCTGCGCCCACCCAGGCCGTGCGCCAGGTGGGGCTGCTGAGCCGGCCGCCGGTGGCCTTGCAGAATCTCCTTCGCCTTCTGTGCAGAAATGCCAAGCAGGGCTGCCGCAGACCCTCCAGAAGACAAACAGGAACGAAAAGAAGGATGTGCGACAGCTCTGGTGACCAGGGTCAAGAGGTGCCCAGGTGTTTCTCCGTGTGGACCCGTGCGTGCGCATACCCGACTCCACTCGCGCACACGTGCGCACATCCCCCGCCCCCACTCCCGACACAGGTGTAGCCCCCCATGCCCCGCACTTCCAAGCTGAAACAGAAGCCTCCCCGAGCAGTATGAATCGCCCTGCACAATCCTTGTTGACTTGGGACAGATTCCCCCAGGTGCCCCTCTAAACTGTTATCACGTGCCCCTGTCACCTGCCCCCCTCCCCCCTCATCTTGCTGATTAGAAAACCAAAGTTACATGCAGTGAGGTGCACAGGGCCACCGGCTCTTGAGGTCAGGGCTTTGGTGGCGCTGGCAGAGGTGCCACGGCTGGGGAACGGGCCCTCCCCACTGGGGGCTGGAGCCTAGGGTCCAGAAGCCCCCAGGCTCGAACCAACCCCAGGGTCCCATCGGGATGTGATGAGTATTTTTCTCCTTTCTCTCACACCTTCTCGCCCTCTCCCCATTTAACTCCAAGCTACTCTGAAGAGGATGAGGCTTTGATGCTGGTAGAGTTCGTCTGGGAACCCCATGGGACAGTGCTACCCGGTGCTATACGCGCGCCAGGAATCCTAGTTGACTCAAGGGCAGTGAGTTGGTTTTCTGGTTTTCTCTGACAAGCTCTGTAGATTGTATTTGCCAGCGGCCCTCAGAAGATCCCCTCCCCCTCTGCTCCTTGGCCTACCTTTACACAGATCACAAATGAAGGTCCCACCTAGGGTTTGAGCACAGGGAGACTATACACTCTGACCCTCAAGTAAGCACTTGCCACCCACCCCAAGAGCCTGCAGCCTGGGGTGTTCCTTCTAGTAAGGACAGATGGCTAGAATGGCCTGGGCACAGCCAGGACCCAGGGGTAAGCAAAGAGGACCACAGCCCTCCGTGCTCCATGGCTCAGCCAAGTGGACAGAAGTGGACAGGCCCATGGACACCCACCTGTGCCGAGTTCTCCCCTCAGCCAGAGCTCAGGATTCACCGGAAGATGGGAGAGGAGTGCTGGTGCAGAGGGTACAAGAGAGGAGGTAGAGGAGGGGAGAAAGAAGGGGAGAAGGGTTAGAAAGATGAGAAGGCTAGGAAGAGGTGGGGAGGCTCAAGAGA